CAGTGGCTAGGAGAGTATCCAGAGTTTGCCTCAAATCCTCTCTATGTCGGTGGAGATTCATACTCTGGTATGGTGATTCCAGCCATTGTACAACATATCTCAACAGGTTTGTTTTTAATCTTTTGTTGTCATTATAATCAATCCCCCAAAAACCATCTTTTCTAGAATTGGTTTTACTACTTAGCCACTTTATTACAGTCTTACACAATACTGTTACGCAGGAAATGAACACGGCAACAAACCTGTAATCAATCTTAAGGTTCATCAATATCTTCATTCATATGTTCAACATCACACTTTATATAAAAAAGAATCATTTTGTACCAGCAGGGTTATGTTCTTGAAACCCTGGTAACAGACTATGATATTGATCATAACCATAGGATCCCATATACTCATGGAGTGGCACTGTTATCTTATGAACTCTATGAGGTATATTGAAAGTCTTATCTCATCTCCTTTCTCCACCATAATGTAACTACTTTTTAAATTGAAATAATTTCTTGAAAGTTGAAACTCTTGTTCGCAGTCGCTAAAAAGGAAATGCAAAGGAAATTGTTTACAAATAGATCCTACTAACACACAATGCTTGAAATTGATGGACTACTACAATAAGGTAAACACAAAGGTTTATAATATTGTGAATAGCAAAAGAAGGCTGTTCTAGGCTAGTTTTTGTTTTTTTGTTTTATATTAAAATTCACTTTCTTAATCAAAAACTCAGAACAAAGAAGCATTTGATGTAAAAAAGTTTTTTTGAATTAATTTAACATATAATTCAAAAACAAAAATAGCAAAAGACTAATGTGGGACTTTTTGGTTAATTTGATTGATAGTGTGTTTCAAGGATAAATGAAGCATTAATTTTGACACCATTGTGTGATTTTGCATTGCCAAACCCGCTTTTGAATGAGCATATTGGAAGAGGAGATCTAAGGGAATTTGTTCACTCAAATCTTTCTCTTCCAGCTTGTGATTGCTATGTAAGCAAAAACAAAAATCTATTGAAATGATCTTTGTTTTAGCTACAAAATGGAGTTAACTAAACCATTAAGATAAAACATGCAGACATATCGGTATTTGCTAGCTATACATTGGGCTAATGATGAGAATGTACGCAAAGCGCTTCACGTGGTGAAAGCAAGTCATAT